CGGGATAACACCCGAGCCAGACTGGCTTGCACCTGAAAGGCTTTCTCCATACCTGGTGGGCAGGCGTGGACCGAATGACGGTCATCGATGTGGCCCAGTCTCCAGAATTGGATGATTGTGAGCAAGTCAGGGGACGCGCCCTCTCCTTGTTCAGGAATTTCCAGCAGGGCTGTTCAGGCCGGAATATCAACTTGTCAAGAAATAACAGTAGACGATAGACAGTAATTACAGACTAGATACCCATCATTCTATGTATCTTCTGCTTTAATTGTTTAACACCCGTCATTTTTATACTGGGTAAATCCTACGCATGTCTCGCGCGTACCGAATACATAAGCTGTAAATAATGTGAAGTCACACTACAGAAGTCGAACACGGTCAACACATATCCAGTCGGACGCGGAGGGGGGAACGAAGACATAGAGTAGTTAGGAAGGAATAGGAAACCACAAAAGAGGGGGGGAACGAAATACTACGAAAATTGATTATTCGAGACCTCAACAATTTCTTCATTGGGTTCACCAGGTTTACATGGGTATCTTGGTCGGTTGACAACCTATTGCTTTGCCCAAAGCAGTAATGGAGCATAATTCTCGCCAGATGTTTCTAGGCTCTGACCAGTGTCACGCCACAGTTCCCAGGAATGCCAGTCAACTCGTAACGGCTGACCGGCCAAGACCTTTTCGGGTTAAGGGTCTCATGCCAGACCTCAGATTCGCAATCAGCCAACTTGACTTAACCCATACCTTGGATCTTGGCATGTGGAGGAAGAATCTGGACTCTATTCTTGCTCGTTTAGACTTACCCGTCGTTTTCGAAATATCTACTTTCGCCGCCGCACGCGCCATGCGACGGCTGTAGGACCGAGCGCAAGTTGATGAAACTGGTAAGAAAACGCGAGCCCTTGGGGAAACCCAAGTGCTCACCACTGTTCGGCCACATGTTGACCGTCGTGTTTCGTTTCCAAATAGAAGATATTCGGCTCGTATTTCCGCCAGATTCGGCTACCTCGGTCTCATGAAGGATGCAGTTCATTGCCGAACTCCATTGACGGTAAGGTGTTGTTGAGTGCACGGTGCAGTTCCCTTGAGATTGTACCTACCGGCACTTTGGATCCATTGGATTTGATACGGTGGAGTGTCAAATCGGTTACCAAGATGGACGTCATAGGTAGTCACGGGATCTTTGGAAGTGCTACAATGTACAGTTCGCACCAGCCTCTACTTTTGCTCTTGCATTCATTGGCACAGCAAAGACATTGTAGACTTCGCAAAACATCGTCCGTACAATATTTCCCTAATGCCCAATTGGGAGAATGTTCCGCCGAGGTTTAATCGGTCGTCGTAGAAACAGAGCTTAGGCTAAGCTCAAAGAATGGTAACAACCCAAAACGGTTTCAACATCTGCGTTTACTCCCAGCCCACACCTACTGAGTTCGCCTCACATCGCACTCCGAAACACCCCCACGCCAGATCTTGCCCACGAAGCACGTGTGTCTCGGCCGGCGCAAAAACTCATTAGCCCCGTGATGAGCGGCGACTTCGAAACCGTCGAAGATCCCATCTCATCCCACGGGAGGCCACCCCGGCATCCCGCAGCGGCCCTTCGCGATCGGAAACTCCACCCGTAACAGAAGTTTTTGACGAGCTGGCCGTGAAGAAAGACCTAGGATTAGCATGCACGACACCGGTGATCACACAGAAATGAAGTCTGGCCATAGCTTCAGCATTAAGTGGTGCTACTATCGTTCTCGTCAACTTAATCCGACTTCATTGTCAGCCTCATTCTCGAGAATCAGTCTAGATGCTCTTGGCTTCTCTCTTGGCTGCATAAACTCCCTCTCATTTCCCCTCTCTGGTGATTTGTTTCAGTTGACTTCCCGCGGCTGCATGTCGGCATGTGGATTTTTGGTTTATTGATCAGCGAGCCAAGTGAGAATAAACTCCAGCCTCGTCTGATTCACGTCTGACAAAGAATGCCCCCATACCCGACACAGAATGGCTGGTGGGATGGTTTGCGGGGAAGGGGCCGGAAGAAGTGGAAATTCGAGTCCCGCGGGCGTTGCGGCGCGTGCAGCGCGGAGCAAAAAGAAAGACATGCTTATTCGCTAGCCTGCATGCGCAAAAGCCGTTAATGGCGACATTGGTACTAAGTAAGGTTGCGCCAAATGTACCCCTAGAACTTGAGGTTATTATGTGGCTGTCAAAGGTGTCATTCGATACGCCGCGGACTCTATCGGTGGCGATCGCTCCAATGAGCCGGCAATAGTACAACGTCAACGACCAGACCCTGTGACAAGCCGTTCGCCATAGTAGCCATCCATGGCAATAAAACGAAACGATGGCAGAAAAAGTGAATTTTGCCGAAGGGGTCCAACTGTCTTCCCATGCTACCTCTCACAAAATCATTTCCGAACATGGGACGGCTGAGGAGCCCGCGCGGTTATTGTTTGTCCGTGCAGGAAACAACAAACTTTCGTCGCATCTGAATCTTCACGATATGATCGTCGAGTATGAAGATCGTTCCCTGTCGGCGGGTCAGGGAGTGGATAATTGGATATCGCATTGCCCGCCAAGATGCCAGGGTCCCGGTTGGTGTAATTCGTTCTCGTTGAGAGAGCCTCATGGTGACTCCATGTCCACAATGTCGACCCCCTCTCGATCTTCGTTCTTGGCCGCAGAGACTTCATGTTGAAACTTCAAGTTGGAAAGTCTAAGCTGGTCCAGGCACGGGAATTATGAGCTGGAGATCGGTTGAAGGCGAATCTAATAGTTCACATGGACGGGTTTCTCAAGGCATCAACCAGGAAACCACAAGGTCGGAAGTTTTTAGAGCTGGAGACGTTAAGATATATAACTTCAGAGCGTTTCCCTCTTTCCCGCTTTGCAAGTGTCGCATCACGCTCTCACTCCGGGTCGCCCATCAAACAAGTATATTACAACGAAGCTCGATTATGCTTGTCCCTTCTCTTCAGCACGTGGCCATTGTGGCCTTGGCCTGCTACGTCTCAATTGGCCTTGCAGTTCCCAATGTGCAGTCAGTGACTGATATTAAGGATTTGAATGAGGTGAGTTTTGAATACTTCGAGTGGTCCATGAGACCCTCCATCAGAACTAACACCATTGGTTTCTGGTATAGAGGAACGAAGCCGTGAACAGCCCAGACGTCGCCGTAAGCAACATCATTTCCCGATCATGCATTGACATGTTCCTAACAACTGAGTAGGGTATTGGAGAGGACTTGCAAGCCCGTGCAAACAAACGACCACCAGCCCGGCCACCAGCCCGGCCTCCAGCGCGACCACGTCCACGCCCACGCCCGCGGCCGCGCCCGGTACCGGCGGTCGTAGTTCCTCTCGCCGTACCCCCTCAGCCCCCCCGTGTCCAAGTGCGGCCCGTTCCACCACCCAGACGAAGGCCCCCTTAAACAATACTGGACTCAGAAGGCTTGCGGAGGGGGTGAAGGGGACAGAAACGAGAGAGGTTGCCTGCGAGCCAAATATGGTGATGTTCGATACAGCCAGCCTTTACTACTGTCGGAATATGCTAGGAGATCATTTTGTTAGGGTGCGTTGATGACGTGAGGTAGGAAAACATGGGAAAAGGGTGTGACTATGTACATACGCAATGATCGGCTTGTGAGATCGTACGGTGAATAACAATTTTATTGTACTTTAAAATGCGGTCTATTCGGGGGACTTTGGATTTTTCAGTGCCCAAATGATTACCTCATTCACCTGTAAAGCAGATCATGTCGAAGACGCGGGAGTGAGAAACCAAAAAAACACAGTGGAGACGTACCTGGTGGATGAATGACAAAAGTCCCGTTGACGTACACATGTTGCCTGCCTGTAGCCACCTTCCAAATATGGATCTGTGCAACGTTTGGTCCATCTGTTGTGCAATAAAGACACATCACGTTGTCGCACATGTCATTCGTGCTATTTCAGCTCATCGTAGTAAAGTGACCTCATTTAACTTTCTAATCCCATGAACCCCCCCGCACCGTTTTGCAGCATAGTTCATCCTGTCCGAAAACGACCAGCAAAATGCTTGACTACGATTGGCACCTTAGCACCCCGCGCCTGTACATCTCCCACGTCAATCCTTCCAATAACATTCACTGCGACTTCTTCATCGAGTACATGAGCGACCGAGGGAGCGCCAGGCTTGACGAGCTATCACGAACCATGTCAAAACGAGAGGCGATTGCGAAGCTACACATCTTACCCCGCCTCGAGCGGATGGAGAAGTTGGGCTGGGGAAGGTATCTGGTCTCGCTCAAGCCTGAGGCTGTTGACGAGGATATTTCAACTATTCCTTTCTCACAGCGCCCTCTTGAGCCGATCGGCTGCGTCACGATGCAGCTGGCTAGATATCCTGGAGGTGGTCCGACCGCACCCGATCTTGGATTTTCGTTCCTTGACAGATACCAAGGCAAAGGTTATGCCACGGAGGCTGCCCAGAGACTGATGAAGTATTTTGAAGAGGAGAGAGGGCAGAAGGGGTTTCTTGGCCTCACTGACCCAGAGAACGACAAAGCGAAGAAAATGTTCCAACGGATGGGATTCGAGGACAGAGGAGAACGAGATGTGGTTGGAGTCGTAGAAGGGAAGACGTTCATGGCCTCAGTTTGGAGTAAAGGACTGGAAGGGAAGTTGGAAGAATATGGTTTCCAGTAGGGAGGATGTCGGCAGGCATGTGCGCGCGGGAACCACCACGAAGACAATTTAACCACTCTGGTGCAGAAGGTTTCGTTCATTTTTATCTGTGTTGCCGGGGATACATCCTGAGCTGGCGCCGAACTCTGTGGAAGGCGTTCATATCAAACTGAGGGAAAGAAAGGGCTAGGCTCTTGGCGGTCAACTCGAGCCAACCTTATCTCACACCGCGGACGGGGATGGTCTCCTGCGAAGCCTAACATTGAGACCTTTCTGCGAGACGAACCAACTTAAAGATAATGTTAGACGCTTTCATGGTGACCGATGGGACATCGAAAACTTACTGGCACTTCTCCTCCAGCAAAGCATTCGGGTCGACCAACTCAATGTCAAAATGTAGAAGTAGAGTGGGGATGAGCTGCCATATGGTCAGCATAAGATTGGTCAATGAACGCTTCGAAAGGTTTGGGCGGATAATCTTGCCTTTGCCATCTCCATCCAACTGATATCTATTGTTGAGTTAGCAGTCGACTGCAAAGGAAGTTTCCGCTGACGACCTACTTCTGCCTATGCACATTCGCGCCCCGGAACCGAATGCGAAGAAAAAGCGGTCTGATACGGCAATGTCAGCGAGCGAAGGGGGCATTAGTACCACGTAGCTTACGCAGGTCGCCATTATCCTCTTTCAGCCACCGCTCAGGTCTGAAAGAATGTACATCTTGGCCATAGACTGTTGTGTTGCGATGGACAACCCACGGGTTAACTCCTACAACGGACTACACGATCATGGTCAGCAAACATCTCTTAACTAATATTAAGGCCGACAAGAACTTACCCCAGCCGGCATAAAACGTCCATCAATTTCGTATCCACCTTTGGGAACAACGCGCGGCAGGGTCATGCCAACAGCTGGGTGCAACCTCAACGCCTCGTACATGGCAGCTTGGAGATAAGGCATTTTCTCAGACTCAGCGACGGTAACGGGGTCACTGAGCTTTCCTTGTTGCCAGAGGGTATCGACTTCTTCAACGAGCTTCCTCTTGGCCTCGGGATACTTCAGCATGTAGTAGATAATTGCACGGATGGAAATGGCTGTCGTATCGCTGCCGGCGAAGATGTTCGACGTCGCCATGGAGACCAGATCCGAGTTATCAAATTGATCAGGCTTGTCATGGTGCACAGCAAGGAGCTTCCCAAGGATATCCTGGTGGTCGGATCCACGGTCCTGCCTAGCAGTCACCTCGCGTGCTGCGAACTTCCTTAAGCTGCCGTGTCGAGAGGCGATACCGAGCCATGTACCGATGACAGGGGATAAGTAATCGTGAAGCCAGTAGAGCCAAGGAACTTGGCCAATCCAAGCAGCCGACTGCAAGGCATTCTCAATCTGCTTGAAGGAGCCGTCGTCTGATCCAACGTCCATGAAGCCGAAACGCTTGGAGAATGTAACCTCGCCAATTACGTCTAGAATATGTCAGCTAGAAGTCACACGGGCAAACGCGAGGCTTATTGAAGCAGGCGTTCTTGGCATTGCGCTTACCAAAGGCATAGAGCTGAACCCAATTGCCCATATCCACAGTTTGTCCCACCATCTCGTTAAGCTTATCGAATAGAACATGGATGGCGCTGTCCACGTATGGCTCCAGCTCCTTCAAAGTGGACATAGCATATGGTCTGCTGACCAGTCGTCTTTGGGCAGCGTGGATCGCATCGTCGCGTTCAGGAAACAGGTCGAATTTGCGTCGTCCTTGCCAAACACTGTACCAGTCGGATTTTCGAAATTTTGACCCAGCACCTGCGCCGATTAGCGTCATCACACCCCGCTCAGATCAGAACGACTTGCCGTAAATTGTCTTGATTGATGTGAGATCCGAGATGCTCCTGCAATTTATGTCTATCAGTGGCCTTTCTTGGGTAAATGCATGATTCTTGCTCACTTACACTTCACTAGGTGCGATCCGAACCACCTTGCCATGGATTTCATGGAGGCGCATCATGATCACATGGAGGTCTCCTTTGTATGAGTGGTACGCAAGCCATCCTCGCGAGAGGCTGGCCCAGTATGGCCCCGGGATGCCAGCAAACGATGAGAAGTAACGTTGATAGACGGCCCACAAAGCAAGGAAGATGACTGGCGCAAATTTGAGAGCTCCCAGTAGCGAAAACGAGCTCGTTTGGTCCACGATGTCATTCATGTTGAGCACAGTTGATAAACGACGCAGCTATCGAAGTTTCAGAGTCGACAGGCTTCTTCAAGAACTAAACAAGCGAAGTCTTCTTTAAATGTGGCTGTTCGGTGTCCCGAGGGCCCGAATTCCCAATAGGCATCTCCTTACTGGCCGATCGCAGTAGGATTACCCGGACTATCCGAGGTAGGTTGTTCCCCATGAGGTATGGAGTAGTTGATCTGGAGGGTGTTGCGGGGTAATACGATTAACTATTCCTCGCTTTGGTCGCGACTTGAGACGTCCGTCCAACCACCGAATTCCCCGAAACACCCCCGGCATGTAGAGTCGGGAAGTCGTTAGCGGCCCCATTTACGCCCGCCGGCCCCGCCCCCGCCATCGCCGATGCAATGTCCGAAGCGAGCAAGGGCTACAGCTGCGAGGTAATGCATTTGGCTATCTGGTACAATTTTGGTGATTTGGTCTATTTCAGAACATCTCTCGGTGATGAGACAAGGCGGTGGGCTGTACTAGTCTCTGGTACTGGGCTGGGTCTGATGCTGAGGAACAATGGTAGAGCTCTTGAAGTCAAGGGACTCTCCTGTGCAGGGTGCTAAAGATGCAACCTCTTTCATTGGTTGAGAAGGTATAGCACCGTAGACGTAGGCAGTGTTAAAATTCATCACTCGAGCTGAAGAAGTTTATCGCCATATCTTCAAGTATTCAGTTATGTAACGTTCATTGGGATTCTGCCAAGAGAATTAAAGAAAGACTTTGTGCCAATGTTTGAGGCTTGGTTCCTAGTCAGCTGATGTCACGTTGCACACGTTGGCATATAATATATTGGCAGTAAAACACGTTCGATGTGCTTGATTAACTAGCCCGATGTGTGGTTCTTGTCATTCAACACTTCGATTGAAAGCACCAGCGATCAGATGAACCAATCCCGAGGTCTGAAGGCATGAATTGTCCTGTTGGCAATGCATTATTGGGGTAGAGTGTGCATTACTGGGGTATAGTGAATCACCACGAACCCAAGAGCGTGCCCGGTGAATGAATACCACAAGTCACCACAAGTCAATAATACTGACTCACGAGGTTCACCGCAAGGGGTATTTATTTTCTTGAAATGATCTGCGGATTCTTCTCTTCTTTTCACACAGATTACGAAGATCGCTCACATCACACCTAGAGACCATACCGATTCTATCCTTCCCAATGCTTCTCAAGGCTATCGCTCTTCTTCCTCTTACCGCTCTTGCGGCTCAGGTGAGAACATCACTTCATTCCAGAGATTCATTTGACTGGCCACATACTAAATTTGTAACCGCAGGCTGCCACCATCGGTAGCACCGCCTCTCAAGCCCCGATCACAGGCTACAGTGTCTACGTTCCTGAGTGGGAGGTCCAGGCCTTCCCCGGAGGAGAGATTCAGATCATTGGCGGGACAGTAGAGCAGGTCTTAGACGAGCTTCGCAAAATCGACCCCAACTATGACGAGGACTTCGGCATTGGGAACGTCACCGAGTCTGGGCTGACCGACATTGTGGGTCCCAAGGCCGACTTTGAGGGAGCCGCAACTGTATGTGACGGCTGGGAACTTGCAAACACCGCCCGCATTCGCGAGGGAATCTCCCATCTCGACGGTGTCGATGGGAAGCCTCACAGGGGTGCCGGCCCTGCCAGCTGGTAAGTTTCTAGCCAACCACTCTGGTACGAATTTTTCTTCCCCAAATTGCTGACAAACATATAGCGGACGTGTCTCTTGCAGCTACAACTCGGCAATTTGGTGGTGCAACGATGTAAGTGACCTCGACTTCAATCATTTGCCGAGCGACCCAGCTGACAAGTGGATCAAGGACACCAAGGCCAAGGAACTCAACTCTTTCCGCGAGATCTCTGATGGCGCGCTCTACGTCATCAAGAAGTGCCGTGTTGGCGAGAGCACCAGAGTCGCCGGCCAGGCTTTCCACAAGGACAATTGGAACGTCATCGTTCGCTGGGCCAGATGCTGAGCAAGTCTTGAGACATCGACTTCGGCCTTCATGTGGGCCAAAGTACTGAGGGGGTTTGATAGTTCGACGGTGGCTGTATAGCCCAGTTGTAGTAGATTAACCGGATGCAGTTTGCCGGGCATCTTACAGATTCTACCTGTTCTGCAATTAATATGAATTTCGGAAGAACATGACCTGATCCTGGAATTCCATAACAACAGGCGAAAGTTCCCATTCACGGTCACGGATTCCTCCAAACCTGGCGTTTTATTTAGTTCTGACAAATAGACCCATCTCTATCCAATGGTGCTCTCCAGAGAAACATCGTATGCTGTTGTGACTGGTGCCAGAAGGCAACATCTACATCTGTGAATTATGGACTACTCTTGAATCATGACCATCTCTCCATGTCAGATTCTATCTCGCAGCCTAATCGTAAGACAAACTCGGGGATTCCTAGCCCGAATGCCGGGATCGTAGGAGAAAGACAGGGTGATACAGCAGCTGTCACGGTCTATGGACCGATATGAAGCTTCGGCTAGACCCTCAGCTATGGAATACTTTGGAAGGTTACAGAATATCGTGGAAGGTTATGAGAACCTTGTCGGCCCTTACTCAATGGAAGCTTCTGGAAGAAGACTCACA